ATTTGAGATTTGGGGCTGTAGTTGCGATATTATTTGAGCTTTTGAGATGTTAATCAGCTGCTGTTGCTTGTAGAAAACTGCCTTGTTGCCATGATTACACATCATAACAAATGTCCAAAACTCAAAAAGTTTCATTAAAAATCCTTCCAGCTGCACAGCATCTGATACCAGAGGAAACAATCATCCAAAAAAAGTGCTTTACATCCAGCAAAAGAGGAATTAAAGTTTCCAAAAGCAAAATCTCAGAATGAAAGTAACAGAGCTTTTCCAACATGTAGCCACCTTGAGCAGCACAAAATACAACAGTTAATAGTTAGATAATGTTTCAAATATATCAAAGCTCTCAGCATTTTCTAAAAATGTTTTGTATAAATGGCTCTAATGAATGGCTAAAGTTATTCCATCTGTGACAAATAATACCAGTGGCACAAAGCGAAAAGCTGTTAGGCCAGGTACAATTACTCATACATATTGCTTTAATTCAAACAGCATCCTCTCCATGCAGAGTTAAGGATTGCAAGTGTTCAACAAGAATGACTTATCCAATGACGTTCATAAAGCTAACACTGCACAATACTCAACATACTCGTTCCTAGCCTACACGTAGGTTGAATGCTTACGGGCTGAAAATCAGTGAAAGCTGGTAGGAGAGCTAACGACCACAGATTTGATCACTAAAAGCATGAAAACTAAGAAGAAAATAATCACTGAAGAAACACAAAAAATGTCTGCAATAAATGAGCAATCTTACTTATTTCTTGTTGCTATGACAGGCATGTGATTATGTAATTTCCTGTGTGTGTGTCTGTTAGCAAAATAATTTATGAACTACTGAATAGATTTAAATAAAACTCATAAACTGATCATGTTTATACAGTACATCTGCAATTAATGAACTTCTGGAGTCAACACAATTCGAGGTGGCCAACATAGCTAATTGGCCTAAGCAATGACAAAAATGTCTATAATTCAGTCAGTCCTACAGATGTTGAGCTAAAATTGGTTATGATAGTAGCTGAGATCACATGTTCTAACAGATCCAAGCATTTAGATCTTGGTGTACAAGAACAGTAGTCCCTCGTTTATCGCAGGGATCCGTACCCTGAAGCCCTGCGATATGTGAAAACCATGAAGTGAGAATGGTAGTACAAGTGTCACGAACCAGGGTTTTGGATTCAAAATAGCCAGACACAGGAGTGCAAAAACAAGAATAGCCCCCCCTTTAAGGTCCGGCATCCTGACAGACCTACCAGCAAAGAACTAGCAAGAGTTGTGTGGGTGGAGGGGGTCCGGAGGTGGGCAAGAAAAGAACTGGGTGGGTGGAGGGGGTCTTGGAAGAGGGTATGAAATAGATTGGTAGCCAGAACGGCCGTCCAGAGCTGTTACAGGGCTCGGGTGGGCGACCAGGAGGTCGTCCAACAATTAGCAATGTCCAGGGAAAAAGGCCGGGCAACCCTCCAAGACCTCGAGATGGGGCCAGATCTGCAGCAGACAACGTGGATGGCTGTGGATCTGCAGCAGACAACGTGGATGGCTGTGGATCTGCAGCAGACGACGTGGATGGCTGTGGATCTGCAGCAGACGATGTGGATGGCTGTGGATCTGCAGCAGACAACGCTGATGGCAGTGTATCTGCAGCAGGCGACGTGGATGGCAGTG